TTTTTTTTGGGGGGGGGGGGGGGGATGAGAAGCCGCGCGGCGGAGGGGCGCTGGGCAGGGACAGGAGCACCCCCCGCGCCTGGGAAGAGGAAAACTGAAGACGGGTCTTTTGGTTGCAAGGGAAATCAAGCCCCGGCTGCAGCACGTGGAGGGGCGGCTCGGGGGCAGGGAGCACGTGCTGCCTCCCAGCCCGGGCACGGCGGGGCCCCACGCGCGGCTGCCAGGCGCACGTGGCCCGTGGCGGGGACACGCGCCGGGCATGCGGGGGGGAGGGGATAAACAACCCGGCCACGGAGCGCACGCAAGCAGCCCAGCTCGGCTTTTAGTGGTCGCCTCTTAATCCCGCGCTGCCCTTGGACTACGGGGGGACAGCGAGAATAAATAGCCACTCTTCCTTGACAGCCACCAAAGCCTTCATCCTCTTCTCCGCGCGTGTGCGTGGGGGGTGCTTTTAAGCTCTGAAGTCCATCAGAAACAAAATAACCCCCCTCCCCCTGCGCGCGCACACGTGCAGCGGCAGAGCGCTTCAAAAACTTCTCCCTTATCAAAAAAAATCCCGCCCTCCACCGCAAAACACCTTTTATTAAATTAAAAATAAGATGAATAAAAAATAAAGTCACCCACGCACTTCCGCGCGGGAGCACGCAGCCCGGAGCCAGGCCCCAGAGCTCACAAACGTACAGCGGACGCGGAGGACTTGCCGGGGTAATACTGACCTTTTTTAATAGTCAACGAGAAGGCTGCCATATATACACACACACACGCACACATATACATTCTCCTACACGGTACAGTGCATGACAGCGCGGGCGGCGCGCCCCTAGCACGAGCACTTGCACTCCGAGATGATGGGGTACTGGATGGGGATCCAGGCGCAGCGCTGCCCGGCCCGCCGCTGGCACCGCCAGCGCAGGATGGTCAAATGCACGGACTTGGCCGGCTTGCACAGCATGCCCTCGGGCACGGAGCACGACCGCTTGCTGTAGCAGCTGCCCACCTTGACGAAGCGGGGCCAGAAGCGGCTGCCCAGGTCGTTCCAGGTGTAGAGCACGGGGCAGAAGGTCTGCGACCAGAGCCACAGCTGCAGCTTCCTGCGCAGCTTCTTGCTCAGCCGGTGCTTCTTGCCCGGCTGCAGCCCGTCGGCGAACTCCAGCCCTTTGATGTCGCTGGGCATCGCCCCCGAGGGTCTCTGCCGCAGCAGCAAGTCCAGCTCGGCCAGGTCGTCGCCGCCGAGCCGGTCCTCGGGCACGGCGGTGGCCATGAAGTTGGCGTCGAAGTGCCCGCCCAGGAGGCTCCTGAGCAAGGTCTCGTTAAGATCCTTCTCCTTGGGGTCAAAGATAGGGTCCGGGTGCTCGATGAGGTCCACCAGGGGCAGGTTGTCGCTGGGCGCCGGGCGGATGTGCAGGTAGTGCTGGCAGGCTCCCTGCTCCATGCGGAGCCCCAGCAGCACCGCCAAGGCGTAGATGGTGGCCAGGCACTGGGAGTGCTCCATGCTCGGGG